ATCTGTTTCTCCTGCCATTCTCCCCGCCTTAGGAAAGGGCGCTGCTCTTTACGAGTTTCTCAGCCCCAACACCTGGGAACCTCCTTTCCTCCTTCCTCCTCCCCCTCTGCTTCTTGTCCATCAGCTGGTTCTGTTGGATCCATCTTTAGCCCACATCTGGAATCCCATGCCATTTCTCAACCCCACTGCGCATCCAGCCACACAGACGACGGCCACCCAAATCAGCTTCTGCTTGACCTCTGGGGGATCTCACCTTCATTCAGTCCCCAGAGTTCAGTTTGCTGCCTGAGGCAAGAGCTGAGGCCATAGGCTGGACTAGAAGTTAATAAAAGACCCTGGTGTATGTGAGAGAGAGACAGGGGCAGAGAATGACTGTGATGTGTGTGAGAAGGAGTGTGTGTGTATAGGAGTGTGTGAGTGTGTGTGTGTGTGTGTGTGTGTGTGAATATAGCACATGAAAGATGCCTCCTGGCCCGTCCAGGCAGCTGGACTAATAACAGTCCATTTCCCCCTGGTCTGGAGGCCACCTCCAGGCCCCCAGCTGCCCTGATGGGCCAGGTCAGGCCCCCCCACAGGAGCCCCCAGCCGCTCCCCTCTCGGCTTTCCTTGTATTGTGCACAGCCTGGTTCCTCGAGGAAATGGGGCGGCTGCTGGGTGCGGGGGCGGCCGCCAGCTGCCCCACCCCCTTCCCCCCATTGTCACTCCTGGCTTTGGCCCCTAGCCCCTGCTGTCGACACTAAAAATAGTCCTGTTCACAGGGAGACAGCCGCACCCCTGAGGGGGCCTCTGGGCTCTATGTGAGGTCTGGGTTGCGAGGACAGATCCATGGCGGATGGGGTTGAGGTTCCCCCTCCCCCAACATGACCTCAGTCAAAGCACCATAGGACCGTGTGACCTCAGGTTGCCTTCTTCCCCTCTCTGAGCCTCAGTTTCCTCATCTGCAAAATGGGGATAAGGACACCTACCTGCTGAGGTTGCTCTTGAGAATGAGCACATATTTGGCTGGGTCCTGAGTGCTCTTTTCTTATCCTGGCCTGGGCTGGGGCTGCCTCATTCTCATTCCTACCCTGATGGCCAAGAGCTTTCAATTCCCCCCCAAACAGGACTGCTGTGGGGCTGGAGGAGCTCACGTGTGTGTGTGTGTGTGTGTGTGTGTGTGTATGTGTGTGTGTGTTGGGGGGGGTGTCTAGAAGCATCTACTGTGTGAGAGTTGGCAGGCACCTCCTGTCTGCACCTCTGACCTGGGCAGAGCACTCACCACAATGCATATGACCAGTCTGGGACTCGAACCTGAACCCAAAGCTCCAGGCGCTGAAGACTGTGTTTTTTCCGCTTTAAGGGGCTGCCTCCATGTTGATGACTCCAAGGACTTCCTGGCTGGGATAACCCTGCCTTTCATCCACAAAAACATGATTCATCACAAAGGAAGATGCTGGGCAGTGGGCGTTGAGCCTTGTGCTGGGGGCTGGGTAGCTCCCCTCAGCCCATGTGGGTGGATAGCTGCCCTCAGATGCCACCCATGGCCACCGAGCTGGGTCCTGTGGAGGAGGAGTTACTGGCAGGTCTGCCTGTCTCCTGGGCTCTTTCTTCTTTTTTTAACCATGACACATTTCAAACATGAGTTCTTTTATATACTTTCAGAATGTCAAACTCTCAGAGTTACTCTTGTCACAGTTTCAGTTTTATGTGTTTCTGTGATTATGTGTGTCCCCCACTATTCATGGGCCCCAGGGCAGGGGCTATGGCTTTGTTATGAATCCCTATACCCCTGAGATGAATATTCACAGTGTGAGTGCCCCCCAGGCTGACCCTGATGCCTCACAACTTTGTCTCCACCCACTGGTATTTGGGGGCTTGTGGGGATACCTTGTCACCAGTTTTGTAAATCTTATCCATGGGGCTTTGGCTTGCTACTTAATTGCTTACCCTGTTTTTATGTGGGAACCTGGGAAGATTCAAAAACTGTGTTTCTGCCACAGCAATAGCCATCTTCCCAGAACTCAGCTCTTTGCAAATACATCCATATAAGAAAAAAACCTAGTACTCAAGGTGTTGGTAGACAGGCCTGCCTCACACCTGAAAGAGGGCCACTGTTACCAGTTTGGAGCTCCTGGCAGGTATTCTATGTACAGCAAGCAGGCTCAGCTACCCCGATGATTCTGACACAGATAGTGGGGTACCCTGCTTTATGTACTGTACTCAGCACTGTGTTGTGACAGAGAGGATTTTCCCCTTTACAATTAAAACAGTTGCATATAAAGCAGGGGTTTTTAGTTTTTGGTACCCCTTTGGCATCTCATATTCGTATTTTCTAAGTGTGGAAAATCAAGTGCCTCAGATTACCAAGGAAACCAAGAAACCCAAATGCTGTTGTTAGGGGGAAAAGGATGTCCCAAAGCAAATTCCATATAGGCTTTGTGGACTCCACCCCCACCCCAGGTCAAAGCCAAAGACACTGGGAACTCCAAATCCCATCACCACCAAAGGGAAGGTGTCTGAGACCTGAGGGTGGGGTTAAGCAGCCAGGTGGATATAAAAGGCAGACACATGGGCTTTGGGGGACCCCATTTTGGCTCTCCACCAGCTCGCAGGGTCCGGCCAGCTCTGAGAGTGACTTTGGGTTTCCAGGTCGTCGGATCGGGTAGGACGCATTAAAGACTTTATTTCCCTATTTTCTCCCTGAGTTGTACATTTTCCTTATTTCCTTTCCTCTTGTAAATAAACTTTTTATTAACCTTTTTGTGTGTGTCTGTAGTAGAGTATTCATAAGTCCCTTTAAAGTGCGCGGGTGAGGACCCGCAGCCAGGAACCCGTTTAATATCGGGGTTGCTCTATAACACTGTGGCTGCAAGGGTACCTGGGGCATGGTGAGGCACTTCTTTAGTGGCAGATTAAGAGGCAGGTCTCAGGTTTCATTGAGCATATACGGGATATCTGGGTATCTGCAACCACTGCGATGTTAAAGTGTTTTTGAACTTCTGTTGTGACAAGGTCAATGCTAACCCCACTGTAGTTTGCGGTCCACATTTGTACTTGCAGAAAATGCTACCTGTCAATTAGAGGTTAGTGACTACACAGTGGTTGTTATTTTCCCATTCACATTCACAGAGTACCTGAATTCGCCACCTCAGGTTAAGAACCCTTAAGTGTGGCTTTTCCTCACTTGATTCAACCAGTCTCTTATGGAAAAGTCACCCTGTCTCAGCATTTCTCCAGACAGTGTCATTGCAGAGGAGGCCCAGGCTGGTGAAGGCACTAGGGTGGCCGAGCCCAGTGTCCTAAGTCCTAGAACAAGCTTTGGCCCAGTTCCTCCCACAGCAGGTTGGTGGCAGGGAGTCTGCCTCTGCCAGGAGCAGGTTGGCAGCTGGTGTCCTGTCCTGAGAGTGACCTGGGCCTGCCTGCGCCCTGCACCCCACCCTGGCCGGCACAGCTGTGGATGTGACAGGAGGCTTGGCTTCTATTCACCCAGGCACATTCCTGGCCCAGCCACTATTTTTTTTTTTTTGTGACTCTCTCTCCCACACACCCCCACCCCCACCCCTTTTCCTCAAAAATGCTCCGTCTTTCCCCAGAGGGTCCCTTTGGGCGGTGGCTACTGGAGGGGAATGTGGCCTGGATTTCCTGGAACATGCGGAGCTGGAGTCTCAGTGCTGGGAGGAGGGAAACTGCTGGCAGCAGAGCGATACCTCCACCCCCAAAGATCATAACTGGTTCTTTGCAGAAAGCAGGATGAGCTAGAACCTCAATTCTCCCCTTCCATGGGAAAAGAGGTGCCTACTGTTCAGTGAGTGGGCTGCTACGGTGGGGGAACTGAGACACTCCTCAGGGATCAGGCTCTGAGATCTCCAACAAGCCACCAGTCTGGCTGAGCTCTGTCCCCCCATCCCTAACTGGGGCCTGTGAGCAGGACTTGCCAAGGCTGGTGGGTGATCAAATCCAGTGAGGCGATGGCTATGCATGACCCTTCCCAAGCCCAAAAGCCCAGCCCTGCAGAAGAGAAGGAAGTGTTAGGGGGAAGCTGGTGAGGTGGGTTTGGGAAATGCAGTGGGGGCAGGGACTGGAAACCTTTTGTTCTTCTTTCATTCATTCATGTGACAAATATTTGCTGAGCACCTGCCATTATGCCAAGCACTGGGGTTTGGCTGTAAACAAAAGAGACCAAGTTTGTATTGCCCTCTGGGGGCTCACTGACAATAAACAGACAAATGCCGCTATATGGTCAGGTGAAGATGAGTCCTATGAGAAAAATAAGGCAGGGTGTGAGGGTGTTGTGGGGAAGGTGGGGTGGGGGTGTCTGCTGGGGCAACATGTGAGCTGGGACAGGAATGAAGCAGAGAATCCTCTGCACAAGGAGCAGAGGCTTGAAGTCCAGGAAGGACTCTGGTTCGATTCGTGGGAGCCACAGAGGGCTGACTCTGGGGTCCTACAGGAGATGTGAGTGTGGATCAAAGCTTTGAGGCTGGTAGCTTGGAACCAGGTACAGCTACTTCTTGGCTCTGCAAGTGTGGGCAGGATGCTTCTCATCTAGCCTCAGTGAAGTGGGGCACATAGTTCATGGCTGGCTGAGAGGTAGGACCATGGTTGCCATAGCTACAGCTGCCCAAGGTGGGAGCTGCTCTTCCTGTGGGGCTCCAGGTAGTGAAGCCCTCATTTGAGGGTAGGTGCTGGTGGCAGAGCCCAAGGCTGGCTTTGAACCTGGGTGTGAGTGTGTCTTTGAATGTGGCTGCACAGATCCTGGAAACTCATGGGGTCATGACCTGGCATAGGAATATTCCTGAGTTCTCAGCAGTTCTGTTAGGGGGAAAAGGATGTCCTAAAGCAAATTCCATACAGGCTTTGTGGACTCCACCCCCACCCCAAGTCAAAGCCAAAGACACTGGGAACTCCAAATCCCATCACCACCAAAGGGAAGGTGGCTGGGACCTGAGGGTGGGGTTAAGCAGCCAGGTGGATATAAAAGGCAGACACGTGGGCTTTGGGGTCCCCCATTTTGGCTCTCCACTAGCTCGCAGGGTTCGGCCAGCTCTGAGAGCGACTTTGGGTTTCCAGGTCGTCAGATCGGGTAGGACGCATTAAAGACTTTATTTCCCTATTTTCTCCCTCAGTTGTACATTTTCCTTATTTCCTTTCCTCTTGTAAATAAACTTTTTATTAACCTTTTTGTGTGTGTCTGTAGTAGAGTATTCATAAGTCCCTTTAAAGTGCGCGGGTGAGGACCCACAGCCAGGAACCCGTTTAATATCGGGGTTGCTCTATAACAGTTCTTTTCCCTGCAGGGTGCAAAGCTGAGTTTGTGGGAGCTTCTGAGATGAGGGAAGAGGACCAAGGAGGCACCCTGAGATATGTGGGGTGGGAGGAAACCAGGGGTTCTCCTAAGTTTCTCTGCAGTCTCAGGCTGCCCTTCCAACCACTTCCCTTTCTCCATTGGGGGCTGGGACCCACCCCTTTCTCCCCTGCCCTGAGCCTCAGTTTCCTCATTTGGGAAGTGGACACAAAGTCCCAACCCTGGTGGTAAATGGGGAGGCTAGGGGATCCTGTGGTTTCTCTTGCATGAGGAGCTTGGACAGGACCCCACCCTGGAGGAGGAGGGAACCCACCTGCTTGGGCACTGTGCTGGGCACTTCCATGCATTAGCTGGAAGCAAACAGGCCATGTCACTCCCATTTGAATCTTCAGTGGCTTCCTTTTGCTCACCAGATAAAAAAGAAACTCCTGTGCCAGGTTCACGAGCTTTCTGGTGCTAATGTCAACTAGGTTCCAGCCTCTGAGTCTTTGCATTGCTCCCTACACCCTTGCCTCTTGGCCTAGTAAATTTCCACTCCCCATTAAATTCAGTTTGACTATCTCTCCCCAGGGGAAGTCAACCCTGACCTGCAGACTAGGTTGGGTCTGGCGGTCCTCAACGTGTTGCCTCCTGTCCTGGTAACACATATTACTGTTGTAATTTCAGGGACTGGTGCAATTACCTGTTGTGACTGTCTCCCAGTAAGACTGTGTGTTCCATGAGGAAGGAGCATTGTCTCACTATTGTATCTTGAGCATCCTGCATGATGCCTGCAACATAGCAGATGCTCAATAAAAACCTCTTGGATAAATGGAGGGATGGAATGCTTTTGACAAGGGAAAAGAGATGGTATTCTTCTTTCTACAGATAAGAAGACAAAGACACAATGATGTTAAGTAATATGCCCCCAAGGACAAGACATATTCAGATGGTGTCTGTCTGAGAAAGTCTCCCTGCCAGCAGGCCCCAAAAGTAGGCAGATGGGGTTAGGCAGAGAGGAACTAGGACCATCTGGACAGGGAAGGGGTGTGGGGGAGAGCCCCACCCATCCGTGTTTTCTCCTCAAGGATGGTGGCTGTTTTCCTCAAGGGCGACTCAGGTGACCTTCAGGTTGGGGCCTGCAATGGTCCCAGGGGCCCCTCTGGGCGGAGGGCCTGGTCTGGCCCTGGCTGCTTTTATCGCCCCTATGCCCGCCCCGCTGGCTTCACGCACAGATTACAACTTCCCCTCCACGGCTGTCTTACGCAGGCCACCTCCGGCTCGCCATTGTCTCATTGTTTGCAGAGGGAAGCTCCAGGAGGAAATTAACCTGCTGCTCACCCCAAGCAGGGAGTTTCACCCCCAGTCCCCACTGGGAATGACTGGGGGCAGGGTGGGGGTGGGGATGGTAGCAGACAATACAAGATGCAGCCCTGAAAGGAGTGAGCTACCAGGCTGGGGAACTAAGCAAGCAGAGGCTGCATTCACTGGCACATCATAAGCAATATTAGGCCATATCATGCAACTGGCTTTGTGTAAGGGAATTGGACATGTAGATGTGAGATAGAGATCTTTTTAAGGACCCTGCACAAGGCCTGCAAGCCAACTGCCTCTGGGGGCCAGGCATGTTAACAGAGCTCTGAAGGCACAGAAGCAGTGTGCAGTGGTGGTGCTTTTGGCAAAACGAAGACTTTGTGAGTCTCTTAAGGCTTTTAGATTAGTTTCTTCTGATCTAAATTTTTATTGAAAGTAAAACTGGTTTGCAAACATGGGATTCAGGTGTACAGCACTGTAGCTGGATATCTGAGTATGCTACATTTTGATCGCCACCAAAAATCTAGTTTCCATCATCACCATAAATTGACATTTACCCAATTTTCCCACCCAGATTCCAATTTCATTTTAAAATGAAACAAAATAAATCCCCCCAGAGTAGTAGTCGGATAGATGCTGCATCTGAGCTTGGAAGGGAATTCTTACTCTGGGGTGAACTTAGGTCACTTGTGTTGTTGCTACGTCATGTCTTCGCCCCCGGCTGACTGTAGCTGTAGCTGCATTTGGCACTTGGCACTTCCTAGCACAAAAAGAACGTCCATTTCAAGCACCCATAAGTTATTTGGCTTCTCAGAAGACTTGGGAATGCGCCTCAGGCAGGACCTGGGTGGAGGGGGTGCCCAGAGGGGCAGCCTTCAATCATCCGAGGAAGAGGGGTAGAAGGTAAAGGTTCAGCCTTTTGCCCCTGAACATGGTTCCTATTGGCCGTTTGGAAGTTCTGCAGTGAGACCGAGCACCAGCTGCCAATATGGGAACCTGGCTCAATAAGTCATCTTTTACTTATTGCCTCTCCTCCTTTCCCTGCCTCACTCTCTTAGGTCCCTCACATTTCCTGGGTTATTGGCACCCACACCTTGTCTCAGACTGCTTTCAGGGAAACAACCTCTAATGTTCTCTCTGAATACAGTATATGATTCTAACCTTACGTGATTCTGAGACTGAATGACTTTAACCCTCTGCGAGAACAAGATTTCATAAATTAATCCATCTGTGACTCCAGAGTGAGGTTATTCTAAGGTGACCACGCATGCAGATATGCACAAAATGTTACACTTCTGCAAATGACTTTGCTTCTCCTGAGCTCCTATTTTTCCTGATGCCAGAAAATGCAAACTGTTAGCAAATCTAGACAAAACTGGTTATTTCAGATTTGAATTCATTTGGGTGAGTCAAGTTTTTCCCTGCCTCCCTCTTTTTCTGGGCTGGTTTAAGTCCTAGACAGGAGGGAACATAGGAGTGTGTCTAGTGTTGTTGGTATTTCTCAAAGTGTGGCAGCCCTTCTGACCCTCCCGTTTGCCCCTCCATTGGCATCTATTGGGAAAAGCCCACTCACACCGGTCCTCTTGAACTGAAAGTAGAGCCACACTGCCCTTTTAGTCACCTGAGAAAAGATTTGATCTTCGTTTGTTCCTTCTGGAAACCTGGTACATGAATTCATCAATCAAATATATTTATTAAGCGCCTACTGTGTGTTAGGTGTTGTGCCAGGCACTGGGGACACAAGATGAAAAGATAGATCATGATCTCTTCCCACCCAAACAAAGTGTCTATATTTATTACTTACTTATTGTGGTGTCTGGAGGGACAAATAGGGTGGCAGAGAAAGTCTCTTTGAAGAGTTATTATTTCAACCAAGACTATGGATGTAAGGTCAGGGAAAACCACCAATGACTTAGTAAAGGGGGATGTCTGAGTTGTGACTGTAAAAACCTTGAAAACATCTGCATTTGTGTGTACACTTTACATAGTTGTTTGTGGCCTCTATCATCTCCTCACAAGGAGATAATAGGACAGAAATGAAAGAAGTTCTTGTTTACATCTCAAAGCCCAAAGCTTTTGGTTGGCAAGACTCATGGAAATTTAGTCAACCCCCTGAGTAATTCAAGGTTGTATAGTTTATGCCATAACTAATAGAATGAGAGGAATAGATAAGTCAAAATTGGTTTTCCTCTTAGGAAATGAGATAAAGATTATCTGGAAGGTGGGGAGAAGGGAAGTGTAGCCAGATACTTAGTTGTCAAGCAATTATCTGACTTCCCCTTCTTCTGCGGCTGCAGATGGCCCTGCAGCTGATGACTACATTTCCCAGTCTTCCCTGTCATTATGTGTGGACACATGACCAGCTTCTGACAAAGAATATATGAACCTAATGGTGTCTGCAATTTCTGGACCATGCATTTAAATATTTTGGCATTTTCTCACCACCACTCTTTATCTCCTTGTTGCCAGCTAAAATTTGACATGGGAGCGGGTGCTGGAGCAGCCAACTTAGACCACAAGATGGACGTCAAACTTGAAGGACATCAGAACAGCAACATGGACATTGTTCTAATGTCTCTGACACCATGGGAGTCCCTACCAGCCTGGACTGCTTCCCCTCTACTGGTGAGTGAGAGAGAAATCACCTCTTTATTTAGGACACAGTTAATTTGATCTGTGTTACAATAACTCAGTGAGCATGCCAGGTAATACAAAGGGTCGAAGATAGGAAACTATGGAGCATGCAGATATTGGTGTGTGGCCCTGAAAAAAACAAACCCTTGATTCAAATCTAGAGGGATTGAAGAGCAGACCCTCATGTTCAACCTAAAGAATTAGAATACCTAAATGTCTGAGTGGCAGGCCCTCTGGTCCAGGACCCTTTCTGCACACACAGAATAGGTAACCTGAGTGGGGCAAAGTGAAAGAAGACACCAGAAGAGGCCAAGTTTAAGTGTCTATCACCTAATGGAATAGAGGATATCTATTTGGGTATGGGCTCAGAGTTACACTGCAATGATTATTATTATTATTATTTATTTCTGCTGCTGCTGTTGCTGCTGCTGCTGCTAGAACCCAGCCCAGCAATGCTAGGAGGCTGAGTTCCATTAATGAATTTTTGCTGAGCACCAAGGCTCAGGTTGAGGTCCAGAGTCCAGCCAACTACTTGCTGGGTAGCCTTGAACATGTTGTATCTCTTCTCTGAGCCCTGGTGCTCTCACTGGGTCTATGTAGGGCTTGAACTCTAGGATGTCCCAACTGACCCTTTTATTTTTTATTTTTTTGGTTTAAAGTTTTATTTATTTATGCATACAAGAACTGGGGTGTAGGCCAGAGACGCAGGGGTGAGAGGATTCACTAGAGACAGAGTGGGAAGCAGAACAGACAGACAGACTGAAATACACTGCTGAGGGGAGCAGTGGGTGAGACCGGAGAGGTCTGCCGTGTCATGTGGGTAGCTCCCTGGCCAGCCGGGGATAGAACTTGTGCTGTATAGGCTGTGGATAGCTTCACAAAGTGCTGTGCTTAACAACTTGAGCCACCAGGGAGGCCCCCCAACTGACCCTTTCTTCAGTGATATTCTGTGGTTCTTCTCTGTGTCTGACATTGGAGAGAGTTCAGGAAAAGTGCAATGTCTCTGTTTCAATCCTTGAAGAGACAAGACATGTGGAGATATGCATAGAAGACCAAGTGTTTGCCCCCTTTTTATTTAAATGCATGACCTAGACGTTGCACCACCAAGGTGCAGCCAGGCTTGAGAAAATCTCTTCCTCCCCCTGAACCTTATTTTCCTTATTTGTAGAAGTGAGCATAACAATACCTGCCTTACAATATTGTTGCAATGATTACTTGAGATACAAAATCAACTCCCTTAGAAGATGCCTGACTCATGGAAGTTCATCAAATACCAGTTTCATTCTTTTCCCAGAAAAGGTATCACAAAATATTGGGCCTAGAGGGACCCTCAAAGAATATCCATGGTAACACATACATCTATTCGTGAAATGTTCACATGTCATCCATGAATCTCTCCAGCTATCATTCATCCATTTTTCATACATCTATTCAAACACCAACAATTCATTCATCACTCATTCTCCATCCATCTAACCAAATGTCCCTTCATCCTTCACCCACCATCTAGTCCTTATCCATCATCATTCATTCATCACCAACCTCCTATCCATCTACCTATCATCCATTCTATATTCATCCCTCATCAATCTGTTTATCATCCATACATCCAGCCAGCCAGCCATCATCACTCCATTATTCCATCCATTTATCATCCACCTATAATTTATCTGCCTAACATTCACCAGCTATTAATAGTCTTTTACCATCTCTCATGATTCATTTGTTCCTCATCCATCCAATTCTTTATATATCAATCCACCTGTTCATCTTTCATCCACTCACCCATTGCTCTATTCATCATTTATCTGTCCACTACTTCTCATGCATCAAGTATCCCTCCAACATATATTCCTCATTCACTTCTTCATATCTACTGATCACCATAAGCCAGTCATCAATGGGCTTTCCATCTACTTATTCTTTATCAATTTGCTCTTCTTCCACACACCAAACATTCTTCATTTACTCTGTTCTAAATATCTACCATTTATTGTATTAACTGCATCTTCTTTATCTATGCACCTGACATCTATTTAACCACATCCAATTTATCTAATCATTTTATCACTTATCTGTATTTGTCTAATCAACCATCTATCTATTTAGGCTTCATTTTCCATATAACCTGCCAGGTAATCTGCACTAGGGGTACCTGAATAAGTTAAAACCTGTCCTCAAGTGTTTCGGAGTCCAGTAGAGAAAAACAGACAAGCCAGAAAGTAGTTATTCATAATGTGATGGTTGCTGTAATAGAGGAACTCTTGCCCCTGTTCCATGGGGAGAACACAGAGGAGAGAGCCACACACTCTGCCTAAGGGAATCAGGCAAGTGTCCACAAAGGGAATGGCAGTTAAAGTGGATCTTAAAGGATGAGCAGAAGTTCATTTGCTTTTTCTGGGAGGAAATGTTGAGTCCTGAAGTGGGGAAGTGACCTTGCATAGTCATATGTAGAATTAGCAACAAGGCAGCGACTTGGAACCAGGCCTCTGGCCTCCTATTTTAGTTGGTTCCATTTCCCAGATCTGGGAAGGCAAGCAACGAAAACCTGCCTTAGAATGGTCAGGGAAGGGTGGTGTTGCCAGCTTGGCTTCATTTGGGTAGACAAGGAGATTTCTTTAGAACTTCAGGGAACGAAAAAAAAAAAAAGAACTTCAGGGAACGGTGGCTTCAGAAACCCCAGTAACTACCATGAATTTGACAAAAGGAAGGCAAGAGTGGCCTTGGGAGGGAGCATGGGAGATATGATGGGGGGGAGGTGAGGAACACAGAAGATTTAATTTCTTTAAGCCAGAAAGAAAAAGAAAAATACCGGATGGTCTCACTCATAGCAGGAATTTAGAAAACCTAAATAAGGGACCAGGAAAAAGACTAATTATAATAAAATAAAATTCAAAATCAACAAGCAACTATAAACCAGAGACACACTACGGGGGTGGGGGGGAGAGGGATTAGGGTCAAAATAAGGGGGGTGGGAATTATATAGGGACTATAACCAAGATGAAAATGCTTATATTGCGCAAAAATGAAAAATGATGTAAAAATATATAAAATAAAAAATGTTTCAAAAAATAAAAAAAGAATTGATTTTTTCCCTTTTTAAAATTAATATTTTATTTTATATAATTCTTACATCATTTTTCATTTTTGCACAATATATGCATTATCATTTTGGTTATATTCCCCATAAGAATTGATTTCTTGGTGAAGTTAGATCAGAAAAGAAACCTCCTGGTAGTAGTTCCTTGTTACCTTTACTCGGGTAAGTAATAATAATATTATTATTCTAGCAATCACGTTTAATTGAGTATGGTGTTAAATACTGTGTTATAAGCTTACTCTGCATTATCTCATTTTGTCCCCCACTCCAGAAACCCTAAGATATTGTTATTACTATTACTCTCATTTTACAGATGAGGAAATTAAGTCTCTGAGAGCTTAAGCTAGGATTTAAATATAGCCCATGTGGCTACAAATTCCACGTCTTTTTCATTGTTCCTTGGGTCTAGCGTGTATTTATGCTAGTCATGGGGCATGGGGATGAGTAGGAAAGGGGAGGGGCAGGAGGAAGAGGAGAATCATATGTGACAGGCACAATTACACATTTACTAAAATATATGTTCCTTCATATTGGAGAGTCTCTCCAGTCTTTAAACAATGCCTAGCACATAGTAGGCTCTCAATAAATGTTTGTTCTTGCTTGAATTGTGTTGCAAAGAAAATGAATGACCCAGTAGAATAGAGAGTATATAGATTCATCTCTTCTAACACATATTTAAAGTAATAATAATATAAAGAAGATAGAAGTCATGTCTCCTAGTGTGGGTATAAATAATCCCAGTCAAGCTCATGGAGTGGTGATCCCAGGCTTCCTCTACCTTGTGGTTCTGCCCTCCCTAAGGTATAGCCCTGGCCCAAGAGGTTTCAGATTGCTATCCCACATGCAATGCCCAGGGGGAAAGGCGAGAGGCAGCCTTGACTTAGAAGATGTTCACATCCCTTGATCTGCCATTGGTCAGAACATAGAGATAATTAGCTGCAAGGGGCAGGGAGCGACTGGGAAATGTAGTTTTTATTCTGTGTGGCTAAGAATTCACTTAAAAGTCAGATTTTTATCTCCATAGGAGAAGAAGAGAATGAATAAGAGGGGCAACCAGTGGGCTCTGTTACAGATGAGAAGGCGTGTGACTACGTGTTCTCCACTGTGCAAAATCCCTACAGGGATAGGTACCAGGAAGACAGGGAGCTACACTGCATTATCCTGATGTTCCTGGAAGCTTCTAACTCTGACTTAAGAAGGACTTTGGATGGAGATTTGACGGAATCTTAACAAGTGGGTTAGAGGGCTTTTTGCCTGGTGATGATCACATTGGAGAGGGCTGAAGACCAGGCGGGGCGTCTGGGAGGCGGCCAGCAATAGTGGAGAGACACAGGAAGGTGACTTGCAAGAAGGCTGGATTGGGTGAAGGGGCAGAGAAGAGTCTGGAAAGGAGGAAGCAGTGTGGGAGGAGGAAGGGATAACTTAGTAACCACAGCTCTTCCCTCAATAGAACGCTCAATAGCCCACAGAGTCTCTTGTCTTCTGTGAAATCCTTGGTGAGATTAGATGGTGCCTGAAGCTGGGCAGAGGACGGCGTTGCTCTGGAAGGCTGCGCATTCCACTCAGAGAGACCCATCACTGGTGTCCTTCTTTCTTTCCTCCTGTCTTCCTAGACCATCTTCTCTCACAATAGCTACATAGCTCACTAGCAAGACCTCTCTCCCTCCCTCTCATCTCTCTCTCTCTCTATCTTATCTATCTATCTAATCTGTCTATCTATCTATCTATCTATCTATCTATCTATCTATCTATCTATCTATCTATCTATCTATCTATCTATCTATCTATAGCTCTACCAATCTCTCTGTGTGTGCATACTACTGTAAACCCTCACAGTTGACTTTTCTTTTGGTAATGCAAGTGCCTGACTTAGCCTTGATGCTCAAGCATTAACTTCAAAGAGACCTCACTTGAGTAAACACATTGCCAGTCACCACTAGATAAGAGTCAGCTGCGTCCCCCTTCTAAGGCTCCTTTGTTTTACAGATCCTGGTTGATTTAGATAACTGACCAGTTGGGACTGACTTATGTTTCCTCCTTTTTCCCCCCTTCTTTTTCTGCCATGCTTTAAATGGCCACTCTTATGATTTCAACTCACCAATAAAAAGTGAGTCTGGGAAACCCGAGACCTCTGCATCCTCAAGTCCAATAAAAGCAAGACCCCAGGCCCACCCCATTTCTTTCTTTCTCTCCCTCTCTCCCCATCTTCCTCTCCCTCCTTCTCTCTACTCTCCCCCCCCCTCCTGTTCTCCCTCTCCCTCACTACCTAAAATCTCACTGTGGCCCAGGTGTGTTGTGTAATTTCCAGGTCTTATAAGTAATAAATTTCTAGTTTTTTCAGTCTCTTGATGGTTATTACTGAAAGACATCTTGCAATCATAATAAGAACCCCAAGGACCAGTCAAGTGGTAGTATTGACTTAAAAGGGAAAATGTCTGTGGGAAATTCACCAGGCCCAGGTGAGGGCCCACAGGCATTTCTACCCAATAGCATTATGTGTGAAACACACATATGTGCATGCATATATATTACACACACATATACCTGTTTATAAATGTTTACATGTAAGCTCATAAATATACATAAACACATATATACTTACACAGATAGACACATATACACACTACATGTATATCTGTGTAGGTGTGTTTATCTATTGTAATTACCTACTATGTGTCAAGAGGAACCTTGCTAGTGTCTGGGGAACATAGTGGGGAGCAAGCCAGACTTACAAGGTCCTTGCCATCATGGAGTTTATGGTCGAGAAAGACAGATAATCACAAATAAATGCACAAATAGGTGGCCTAGAGGTTAAGTCTCAGCGCTGCCAACATGCCCGCCTAAGTTCAATCCCCTGCCAGGGAGCAACACACATGGCACAGCAGACCTCTCCTGTCTTGCCTGCTGCTCCCCTCAGCAGTGTATTTCAGTAGATTCACCTGTTCTTCTTCCCCACTCTGTCTCTGGTGAACCCTCTTAGCCCATTACCCCCCCCACCTTTGGCCTATACCCAAGTTCTTCTACACAAAAATAAATAAATAAAATCTTTAAAATAAATAAATAAATGCACAAATAACTGTAGTTACTAAATCAGTGCTATAAGAAGCATAGAATGTAGTGAGGACATATTCACTATGTATTTCACAAATATTTGACAAGAGGGATTATATGTGTTAGGAGATAATTTTTACAAAATCATGCCTCTCATTCAAATATAAAATAAACATGCATACAAGTTTTTATTTAAGTCACTAGTTTTTATTTAAATTATCCGTGGTGGGCCCAGCCCTCATCTCATCTCCTCTCCACTCAAAGAGCCCTCTCCCAGCCCTGGAGATGAAATTGCAACAGAGTGTGAGCTTTTTTTTTTTTTAAGCTTTTTAAGGTTTTTTTTTAAAGATTTATTTATTTATGCATACAAGAACTGGGTGGGGGATGTGAGAGGATTCACCAGAGACAGAGTGGAGAGCAGAACAGGTGGATTGACTGAAATACACTGCTGAGGGGAGCAGTGAGGAGAGGTCTGCTGTGCCCTGTGTGTGTTAGCTTCCTGGCGGGGATTGAACTTGTGCTGCAGTGCCTGGTGATAGCTTGATGGGGCTGAGACTGAACCACTGTGCCACCAGGGTTGCTCCCTGGCCTGCAGGGCATGGAACTCATGCTGAAGTGTCTGGTGAAAGCTTCATAGTGCTGTCTTTAGCCCCTGTACCACCAGGGAGCCCATGAGATTTTTTTTTTAATCATCAATTTATGAGGGAACCAGTGATGTTAAAAGCCAGTTCAAAGGAGAATATATATAGCACATTATTGGTTCCCTCATAAATATAAATACACATATATGTATGTATAAATGAAGAATGCGGAAATTAATTTGCTAAAGATGCAAAATTATTTTCTTCCAAGAGGGCTGGGAGTGGGGGAGCAATTGTACCCAGAACAGACAAAATTTATTTGCATCTCTGTGAACAAGACTTATTTGTATTACAATCAGCCTTGTTTCAACTTACAGATGCAGGAGAGCTCAAAGGTAATGAAAGGCATTGGCCACACAGAATCGGTTAATCAGAAACGAGGTGAAGACAACGCATAGCATCCCACCGGACAGCGAATAATCTTTCCAGTTCTGTTTTGCTTTTGCCATTTAAAAGTCTTTTACAGTTTTTCCTGATATGAGTCAGACCGATGTTAGGTACCGATAACACAGACGCAAACCAGGAACCAGCATTACATTCTAAGAGTGGGTCGAGGGCTAGGGAATGGACAATTTTTGGAAGCAAAATTGAGTCTTTGATATTTTTGTCTAATAGTTACATTATAAAAGCATTTTGTACCTTGAGAAAAACCAGGCCAACTCTGTCTTGTTCTAAATCCCCAAATAAATGGAACTCTGAGTCTTTCCTATAAGTTACAGGCTGTCTAGCAAAACAATCATTTCTTACTTCTGAAAACTATGTCTGAAAATATATGATTACTTTTGCAGATATAATAATCAGGTGGGAAAACTGCTGTTTTTTTCTACTGTGGACAGACTAACTTTTGGTAAATTTTTTCGCTTGAAATATTTGTTGTATTTTTTTATTTGGTGATGTATTTTTCTAAAACTCAACCCTCTTCAAAACTTTCCAGGTGAATTTTTGTTTTATTTCTAAATGCTTCTGTCTCTGAATTTTCTTTGAGACAACAAACAATTAAAACACATGCACACAATTAAGGTAATTACAGATTGTTTTAAGTGCTGAGAAATAAATGTATGCAGTGATATGATAGAGATGAACTTGGAAAGAGGGAAGGTTTGCTTTGGATCAGGGCTCGGCAAACTTTTCCTGTAGAGGATCAATTAGTAAGTATTTTAGGTTTTGAAGGACATCCAGTCTCTGTCGCAATTCTCAGCTGCATTGTTGGGAAGGCAGCCACAGACAATATGTAAATGAATGGCATGGCTATGTTCCAATAAAACTTTATTTACAAAAACAGATGATGAGCTGGGTTTGGAGAATGGGCCATTGTTTGCTGATCCCTGCTTTAAATAATGAGGTTATGCAAGGCCTTCCTGAGAAGATGATACGTAAGATGAAACTTGAAGAATGAGAAGAAGCTGGCGCTCTAAGTTGAAAGGAAGGATGCTGGACAGGCCTGAGGTGGGAAAGAGTTTGCTATAGCTGAGGAGCTCTGAAACACAATGACCAAGGGAGAGCTGGGTGGAAGATGAGATCAGCAATGTTGGCAGGCACTGGGGTCATCTAACACCCTGCGGACCACATTAAGGATTTGGATTTTATTCTAAGAGCGTCAAGGAGCTATTGTAGGCTTGCGAGCTGTGGAGTGTCTTTATCAGATTTTAAGTTTTAAAAGATAACTGGCTGCTGTGAATTGGAGGGGGACAAAATAGAGGGGCAAGGCTAGGAAGGAGGCTGAGATGTGAACCATTGCACTGGGAATGGAGAGAATGGTTGGACTTTAGAGGCATTTTATAGGGGTGAGCAGGAATGTGTGGGATAAATCTCAACATCAATGACAAATCAAAGACGACCCCCTTTTCCCATTCACTGCTGCTTAATGCCTTAGTTCCTTGCCATGGCAAACAGGCCTCCAAGTTATACCCCCATGACCCAGACCATCATGCAGCCTTCTCCTGCCTGTTGTCACCCTCCCAGTCCACTTCCTGGAGTAGGTGTGGTCTAGAGCAGAGCCCTGGCATTCCTTGCTCCCATCTCTGTACAAATGGTGCCCAGCCTGCATTTCTGGCAGAGTACTGCTCTTTCAGGTTGCCTGCTTCACCCCTCTAGACCGTGAGTTCTCTGGGGGAGCTGGCGCATTCCCATATGAGTAAGCAAAGTCAGAGTCCTGGTAAGTATTTTTTTAAGATTTATTTATTTATGCATAAAAGAATAGGGGTGTAGGCCAGAGGTGTGGGGGTGAGAGGATTCACCAGAGACAGAGTGGGGAGCAGAACAGGCAGATCTACTGAAATACACTGCTGAGGGGAGCAGCAGGTGAGACAGGAGAGGTCTGCTGCACCATGTGGGTTGGCTCCCTGGTCGGGGATTGAACTCATTCTGCAGTGGCTGGCGATAGCTTGATAGGGCTGCATCTTTAAGCCCTGTGCCACCAGGGAGGCCCCCAGTAAGTATTAGTTGACAGAATGAACAAACCACCTACTGGTGCCTAGCATAGGGCTCACCCATGGTCTGTGCTAATGTTCACAGAGAATGAATGAATGAATGAATGAACGAACTCAAGGTGCGTGACACCAAGTCTGCTTACATAACAGTTGCTAATAAATATTTGTTTTTATTATTTAAAAGTGAGCAAGTAATATATTCGTATGGCTTAAAACATATTTAAAGAAATAATGTGAAGTCTTATGCCTACTCCTTCCCCATCTGTCAGGTTCCCACCTCTTCTACTAGCTTCTTATCTTTCCAGAGTTTCTTTACACAGATTTATGCAATTGAAGAATACAACGTCATTCTCCCGGACCATTGTTGGTGGGGGTAGCTGTGAATGAGCAGCCAGTGACGGATGGTCCCAGGACCTTGTCTGTCCACCGATCACTAACTCTGAAACATGAATCAGATCCCCAAGTCCTGTCTGGGGTTCTGACCTCCCCACCTGGTCTGTGTGCAGAGGAGGCTCAGCCCACCCAGGGTTGGCCAGATCCACCATTTCCTAAAAGTGGGTGCAGTGGGTCCCTCTCGAACAGCTGCTAGGTGGAGCCATACCTCACTGAGAACAACAAAGCTCAGAGCAAGAACCTTCCTCCCTCTCCAATTTTTCTTCAAGTTGTTATTAAGGAGAAAGTCTCCGTTGAATTGCTGGTGTGTTTTTAACACCTCTCTTAACACTTACTTCCCTTTTCAACAGAGAGCAGGCCTCCACCTCTGAGCCTTCAGCTGCATGCCGGATCTGGCAAGAATTTAATGACATTGTTTTGTTTTCATTGTACTTATTTTTATGGCTGCCTTCTATTTATGGCACAAGATACTGGTTTTCCATTTATGGGGGGGATCTAAAGTTTCCTTTTGAGAATGAATATATTTATGTTTTTAAAAGTAGGTTCATTTAAAGAAAAAAAAATATTATGTAACTGGCGGCACAGGTGGTACCCAGACATGGAAAGAATTATAAAGAGGTACGTGATGGGCTGAAAAAGAGGAAATGCCTCTCAGGTCCAGTGCCTCTCCCAGCCCCTCTTTAACAGAAGGGACCATGAGGCTTGGCTGTACTTTCTCAAGGTCACATTGATGACATGACTGAGAACTGGATCTCCTACCCCCCAGTGGTGGGGACATCCTGGGGCAGGGCAGAGCTCAGGGATGGTCTGCACCCCAGCACTTGGCTACTGCACTGGGTACTCCAGGACTGGTCAGATCACAGACTGAGCACAAAAAGTATCCAGTCCTCAAGCACTTACCATGAACTGGGTGCAGGCCTTTGACCCCCGGGAGTTCACAGATTCAGGGGAATAGGAGTCCCGCTGAAGTAAGTCAGGTTCCCGGAGGACGAGTGCTAAGTGTTCCAACAGAGGCATTGCTTCTGACCTCTGGGGCTTTTGACTGTTAAGTGTCCATTTTACCATTTTCTTTTAGAAAACCATCCACTTCCCCACTCTTGGTTCTTATATTCCAGCAAATCCCACTCCCACTTCAAATGGCGCGTGACCAGGCCTGGCCAATCAGAATGCTTCAGCCCTTTGGCCAGGGGGACCCAAAGCAGACCAGTGGGGACCTTCCCAGGACTTTTGTGGTAACCACTAGGGAAGGACTCATAGTGGTTCCAAGGGGGGTTCTCAAAGAATCAGTTGGGATCCTCAACTGCTGGTAGCCATCTTTGCCACCAAAGAGGAGAGGCTTCCGATTATCCTGAGGCAGCGTAGAAGTGAGCAGGGGGAATTCTGAGAGATGATATGCTCCCGGCTCTTGGCCATGAAATCAGCGCCCTGAACTGAGCTCTAGAAGTCAATACATTATTTTTTTTAAAAAATTGTAATTTCTGTCACTTAAAAAAGAGACCTAACTCCAGGTAGAAACAGTATCATGGGAAACTTGGAGGGGGAGAATATTTGGGGGAATGAAGATTTGTCTGGAAATCCTTTCTCATGGAAGTGGGATTTGAGCAGGGTTTTGAAAAATGAGGAGGATTTTGATACACCAAGAAGGTGAAGAAGCAGCATATCCAGTGAGGGTGCAGCTGGGGCAGAGGCCCAGTAGTGGAACAGCAGAATCATGCCAGGGAATGGCACTGTCAGTGTGGTTGGAGAGACGGATGGGGCAGAGAAGTGGGGAGAGCAATGTGCCCAAGTTGTGCAGAAATCCAGCCCCAAGTGCCTAGTTTGAAGGCAAGAGCACATCACATAGCTGGAGACGGCATCTTGGCATTTGTGTACCCATGGGTGGGGTTCCCAGGAGTCCCCGAAGCTCACATGAAACTCAGTTGTTCATGAACGGGTGTAATGCTTTCATCAGAGCCCAGAAGGGTTTTTGTTAACCTGTAAATTTAAGATACCTTTCTGCATACAGGGAAGAAAAAAAGAGAGTATGAATAGTGGACTGATGAGGTCCAAACTATGCTTTTAGAATAATCATCATGGTTATTTATTGCAGCATTATTCATGAGAGGAAAGATTTGAAGCATCCCTAAGATGCACCAAGGGGAGACACATTCATTCCACCTTTCCATAGAAGGAAATATTATGCAGTTATGAAGGTGAATAAAGAATCCTTTTATGCATCAACATGGAATGATTCCAAAAAATATTTCTCAGTAAATCAAGCAAAGTACAGAGCAGCATATATATAATAAGCTACTATTTGTGTTTTTTAAAAGGGGAGGAGGTAAGATTATAACTCCAGATTTGCTTCTACATGCATAGAATATCTTTGGCAATATTTTCAAGAAAATAGCCAACAGAATCACTACCTCTTGTGGTTTTTATGGTGATTAAATGAGTTAATATTAGATAACTGCTTAGAAGACTACCTGGGACATAGTAAGCTCTAGAGGAGATTTTGTTGAGTAAAATACAGGTTTCCCCTGCTTTCTGAAAGCAGAATGTCCCTATTTGGTATGATTTGGTAGGTTATTTTTTGGGTCTGGGAATGTTCAAAAATTTTTCCATATAAATGAATGGTAATAGCGTTCCCAGATCCAAAAGTTAACCCTACCAGATCATACCAAATAGGAACATTCTATTTTGGGATAGCAGGGGAACCTGTAAAAGAGGAATTGCCTCAGGGGACTGGACCCAGGTGACTGAGGGGTGGTGGTGGTGAGGGAGAGAATTACCTTTCGCCAGATGTGATTTTGTACCTTTTGAATTTGGCACCTACCATGAACAAATATTTTAGAACATTTAAAGTTAAAAGTAAATTTATCTAGATGTAATAGGTAATCTGAGGGGGTC